ATGATCCCAGGATGCTTTGACCATCATAAATATCAGTCAGTTGTCAAGTATCTGAATTTTGATCGCATGATCATGGGGATACTGCTATGGTCGTAAGTGTGAAGAACAGTCATAAGTCACTTTTTTCAGTGTTGTTGTAACTTTGAATGGTCACTAAATGAACTGTGGTAAGTCGAGGACTACCTGTACTGCAGTGCAGAGTCGATGACAGTTCCTATGAAGATGATTCACCATCATTCAGCACTCTGATGGATGATAGTTGGACATTGTGCACGGAAGGAATAGTATTAGGATAGATGACAGAATGGAACTGTCTAGCCTTCGCCTTGGATGATCTGCAGCCAAGACATGATTAGATTGATGATAATACTTTTCAGGGAATCTGGGAAAGTACTCTTAGTGTTACTGCACTTAGCTTTTGCTTCTATGATTATTATACTATAGCTGTACCCAGCCACGCGTTGCTGTGGCTCAGTCTGGTAAAAGCGTGTGTTGCTTTTATGTCCAACAGATGGCGCTGGTTTTTTTAAAAAGCATGTTTTACCTGTCACAGGTGTGACATCTATATAATATAGGTATATAGAAACACGCGCGTATTCGAATGCAACGTTGTGTCAAAATTTCAAAGCAATCGGTGAAGAACTTTCGGAGATTTAAGATTTTGAACAAACGAACATTTACATTTTTATTTATATATAAAAAGATATAGATTGAATCTGTTGTTAATTACACTTAAGAATGTGTCTATGTTAACTGATGCTGGTTGCAGCACAGGCAGCACTTCAGTGAAACCAGATAACTGGAATGTTTCTATGGCTGATACCATAAATCAGTGGGCCTCAACCCTCCAGGCCTTAAGCCATTTGGAACCGGGCCGCGGAAATGGTGAGTGAGTGCGCACCACATTCCCATTTGTATGAGCAGCAGGCACATGTTCCCCCCACTCGCACAAATGGAGCTGTGCACATGCTTGCCCACCACTCATGCAGAACCATTCCCTCTCCCCCCCCAGCCAGTCCGCAAAGCCGGAGAAGTTGTGGAACTCTAACGTAAATGACAATATAATTGCCTTACAAATTCAACCAAAGATTCCTGAACATTATATTAATAATAAAGATTATCATTGATCAAATAGAGAAAATATAAATAATATTATGTATCTTCTACTTCACTATAACAGGAGATACCATGGAAGCCATTGCAAAATTTGACTTTAAAGCATCAGGAGAGGATGAGCTAAGTTTTCAGGCACAAGATGTTCTGAAGGTATGTATCAATCAACACTTCTTCACAGACATTTCCAGAGCATCACCTTTTCTATTCCCCAAATCCTCAAAAGCAGTTTGAAGCTAACTAATAATTATCTTCACTGCCAGTGAACTCAAAGTGCTGAAACACTATCATTGTGCATTCCAGATGACCACTAAGATAGCACAAACAGTGACATTCGGCGGCCCTACACCCATATTAATAATTAAGTATTAATTGTCTGGTAATTCCCCCAAAACAGTGAACACAGGCAACATGGAAAGCTGCAATTCCATCAAGTGAATATCCCCTGGCTACCTTTAAAAAATCAGCGACAATGACAGTTTAATGCTGAATTCTGTAGGGAAGAGGAAGAAGCTGGTTTGAAATGAAAAGTCAAGCAGCAGGTTTCTGCCAACAGACAAGTTATATGCCCAAAATACTAAACAGCTTCAGCATTTCCAGTGGGAAAGGAGATTCTGAAGCGAACCAGAAATAAATTGGCTCAGCTGCCAAACAAAGATGTCCTAGGTCACATAGATGCAAAACTGATTTTGGAGCAGTGCAAAGACCAATGCTTTTTTTGTAAGAAAAAAGGAGCCGGAACTCATCCCCCCCCCAACCAGGCCATTCCTTGATTGGCAACCTTTCACTCCCACCATGCTAAGGTGGATGGGATGGGCAGGGTAAGCCCGGTCCCCCTCCGCCATTTCGGAGCCAGGGAGAGTGACGGTGAATGGCTCCACTGCCACTGTGCTCTGCTGGAGGGACTTTCTTTAAGCTTCGCCCCACAGATCACCTGCCCTGGTGCAGCCGCTGCCTCCTTGTCCTCCGCCAACTCTCCCGTGGCCTGCACCATGACCGGGCGGCACAAGACTCCTCTGCCGCTTCCCTCCACCAGTCCTTTGTCGCCTGTCTCACGGAGAACGGAGAACACAGCAGCTCTGTGCAGGGATGCAGAGCAGAGAACAGCACTTGCTTGCTGCCCTGCATTGCCCCACGTCTCCCTTCTCCCTTCTGGAAATGGCAGCCCTGTTTCCTGCCGCTTCTCTTCCCAGCAGAGCTCCTTCCTCTTCCCAAAAGCATTTCTTTGCTAACCTGCTTTCCAGCTCTGGCATGTTTCTCTTCTGCTGCAGGGAAAGGGAGTTTGTGGGACTAAAAAAAGTTCAGTCAGACCTTCCAACTCCTTGTGAGATCTTTTTTTTTTTTTTTTTGCAAGAAGTTGGAAGGTCTGACTGAACTATTTTTAGTTCCACAAATTCCGTTGAAAAAAGGAACGCTGTTCCATGCGTTCTATGACAAAAAAAAAAGCCCCGGCAAAGACTATGTATGGAAGTGTCTCCTATGAAGATATAATATATTTGTTCTGTTAATCAGTGACACACGTCCTAAACTAGAACTGATTCCCAAAGGATTATCTCTAGCCAGTTTTTTTCACACTGGGTTCCACAAGAAGTTGGTGGGGTTGTATGAAACACTAAAAACTGAAACCCAAAAGTTCATTCACAGCAAATTTTCAGGGGTTCAGATGTTTTTTTAAAAAAACTAACATTGTCTAGAAAAATATTAAATTACAAATACTATTTTACAGAGTGCAGAATTGCTTTCAAAAGGCAAAAGGAGCCCAGCTTTAATATAGATATTAACAAAGCAGGAAGGATGAGGCCCACTGACACGAGGAAACCTATATCTCCACATGAACCTGTTCTCAAAAAGATATTATCTGAAGACTGTCCTCTTTACCTCAGAGCATATTTATTTCTCTGGAAATGTAATTCCAATTATACAAGTACTCATATGAGTTTTTAGTATTGCTTAGATTTCAGCATTTGTCTACTGGAAGAAAAAAAAATTGTAATCAATTAGGCGTAAAGGAATTTTGAGACCAGCAGCTTGTTATGCAATTTTGCACTACGTTTTGGAAATCTGACTTCGGATAAAATTATTAACATTTACAGAAATATTAATTTATGGTTTCAGAGATGAGTAAGAGCAGCATTCTCTTCAGATTTCTCTGAAGTAGATGTTATCATTATTTTGCTAACTTAACAGACTTCACACATTTAACTGAAGACACTTAAAATGATATCTAATTAGGAAAGGACATAACATTCAGTGAGTGTGAATAGATAATGCTAAACACTACAATTCAGCACAGATATTGGCTTGCTTAAGCATATTTGTTGTTAAAATCCATGAGTAATGAAACGGTGTGTGGACCCACCTCATGAATTTGGAACCTGTGCCTCATGCAACAATATGAACATTTATTCTCAATTACATATGAATGTGTTATCATATGTAAGCTTGCATGTGCATTGTTCTATATACTTTTTCCTCTGTTCTCTACTTAAACTAAAGGATTGTTACTATTACGGTTAACCTTCAATTCAATTATTATCTTACTGTTTGTCGATAAGACACTTGTTATTATTGGTGCTATTTTTCTTATGTCACAGTTGTTCTATTTCTTTTTCCAGCTCTTTGTATTTTGTAATTTACTCCAGTTCTTTGTCTTTTATTCTGCTCTCTCCAAGTACTGCCATGTCCATTATCCAGACATTTTGTCTTTCTTATCAATAATTGTTAAGTCTGGGATGTTATGTGGCAAGTGTCTATTTGTTTGAATTCTAAAGTCCCAGAGTAATTTAGGTTTTTTATTTTCTATTACTTAGTTTATTTTGTAGTCCATCAGTTCTTGCTTGCAGGCAAATGGTATTTTTTGCAGATATTTCATTGTACCATTGTTGCTACTTTGTCATACCATTGCTTGTAGTCAGTCCGTGTGATCTTCTTGCAGCAGCTAACTAGGTAGTCGTTTGTTATTATTATGATTCACTGCACAGTCAACCAGGTGTTTAGAGTGGATTTGATATTTCTATCCACCTATTAAGTCCTTCCCAAGGATGTGAAATAGGCAGATGTTCTATTTATTTGTTTGTTTGTTTTCTATGCCTCGTGAATTGATGCCGTCAACTCTACTATAGATTCAGTACAATGCTTCATAAATTTAGTTCTTTTAAACATATTTTCAACCTCTTCTTTCACTGCTTTCTAAAATTATTTTACCAATTCCACAATCTCAATCCAGGCTACCATAATCTTCCCAAACTACCGTATTTTATTTATTTTTTACTTATATTTCCTATTTCTAAACCACCCAAATTTCCATTTGGTTTCCCTGTTTTTTTTACTTTTGATTATGAAAGGGTTATTTCCTCATACAAGCAAGGAAGAATTATAAATTATATAAATTATAAATTGTAAGATTTATGGGATGATTTCACTTCTATCTATTATTTGCAGCCATTTAAAGAGATAAATCTTAAGGGAAGCAGAGTCACTTCATTGACCCACCGTCTCTCTCTAAGACTGAACATCTTTAAGTGGAGCAATACAGTACCTCAGAAGCCACTGTCATGTTGGGCAGCTGCCATGGGCATATTGAAAGAAAAGAAACACTTTGGATGGAAATTTTATTTATTTATATTCCACCTTTATTATTTTTATAAATAACTCAAGGTGGTGAATATACCTAATACTCCTTCCTCCTCCTGGGGGCATGACGGCTCAGTGGTTAAAGTTGTTCAGCGGTTAAAGATCCTAGGCTTGTTTGAAACTCAAGCGCAGCACAATGGGGTGAACTCCCGTTACTTGCCACATCTGCTGCCCACCTAGCAGTTCGAAAGCATGCAAATGTAAGTAGATAAATAGGTACCACTTCGGTGGGAAGGTAATAGAGTTCCATGCACCTCAGCATATAGCAGGGGTAGTCAACCTTGGCTCTTTTATGACTCGTGGACTTCAACTCCCAGAATTCCTGAGTGCTGGCTCAGGAATTCTGGGAGTTGAAGTCCACGAGTCATAAAAGAGCCAAGGTTGACTACCCCTGGCATATAGTCATGCTGGTCACATGACCATGGAAATGTCTTCAGACAACGCTCCGTTGGCTAAGAAAGGGAGAAGAGCACAGCCGCCTAGCGTTAGACATGATTGGATAGGAGAAAACTTTACCTTTACTTTTACCTTCCTCCTCTTGTTTTCCTTCATAACAACAACCCTGTGAGGTGGGTTGGGCTGAGAAGAGAATGACTGGCTTCTAACCTGGTACCTTAATCACTAGAACAAACTGGCTCTCAAATAAATTTTATATAAGATTTATTCTTTATAAAGTAATTAAGCAAAGCACCAAAGTAGGGAAGAAATCCAGACCCTCAATACAGCTTCTAATGTTTTTTTCTTGTTATGCTTACATAGATGTTTAGGTCCACCCTCTTTTTTTTTCCTTTTGACTTTTTGAGGTGCTGAGGCACACTCTGCAGCTGAAATTCTGTGCAATCAGGGTTTTTTTTTCTTAAAAGGAAAGTATTTCCATGTAGACTTTCTTCCCACAGATGTCCATGCCTAATAAATGAAAGTCAGGAACGATCAGTTTCTCTCAACAGTTGGTTTGGCACACCTGCTATGCTAGTTCATTTCTTCTGAGGTAAGAGAACACAGTTATTTTCAAGAAAAAAAATGGCTGAAGCTTGTTTCAGATCTCTGGAGGAAAACTGATAAGAGTTGATAGCAGGAAACATAGCAAAGGAGTTAAGGAGGCATAAAATCTTCAAAATGTAGGCTAGCACAAGACTCACATAAAGTAATTACAGTTTTCCATCTGATTTACAGATCTTAAGCTCTCAGGAAAATTGGTACAGAGCTGAGTTGAAGAATTATGAGGGATATGTCCCAAAGAATTATATTGATTTTCAGATTCCTGGGTAAGTATACAATTTCTACATTTATGTCCATGTTTTATAATATTGAGTTCTGTGTACCCATTTAAAAAATAATTTAATGAATGGGTAAAAAAAAAGAAAGTGGCAAATTTCTGGAAAAAAATTGTTTTTCCATTTTTACCTATCTTCCCTTTCCTGTTTAGAAATATTCACAATTCTGAATATTTTCCTAATGGCTTTTCAGCAACTTTCATACACATACAAACACACACATGCATAAGTATTCAGAAAGCTAGAAGAGATTAATATTATCCTGCCATATCAAATTATACAATCCTATTTGCCAAAGTATGTCCAAAATATAAACCGTTCCAAGTAGATGCTGGAATATTTTAAGGGTAGCCAAAAAAAGTTGCACATCTATATAAATAAAAATGTAAATGTTTGTTTGTTCAAATTCTTAAATCTCCAAACGTTCTTCACCAATTGCTTTGAAATTTTGACACAACGTTGCATTCGAATACGCACGTGTTTTTATATACCTATATTATATAGATGTCACACCTGTGACAGGTAAAAACATGTTTTTTTAAAAAACAGCGCCATCTGTTGGACGTAAAAGCAACACACGCTACGATTTTACCATTCCATTTCAATGTTTCCAATTTACGATCCATTTACGATTTCCAAATTTCCAATTTTACGATTCCATTTCTTACAAAGGCTAACGTAACAATTTAACTTAAAAGTATCTAAAGCTAAATAAAAGTAAAACTAAATTAATAAAGCACACTGTAACGCAACCTTAACTACGTGTCTGTTACCTTGTTGTTTTTTATAACATATGGGTGTTCGTAACACTTTAATTTGTATAATCTTTGGTGCGCTTTCTCTTTTCTTTCTTTTCCATTTAATCAGACTGAGCCACAGCAACGAGTGGCCGGGTACAGCTAGTATAAGGTATAAATATCAGAATTCCTTCTAAAAGTAACTTTAATTTCTGAGCTAATTCCTGTACTCATTCAAAATAGCTGTAGTATTTGTAAGTTTATACATAGCAAAAAATTAAAGCAAGTGGATAACTTTCAGTAGAATATTAACTAAAGTTGGGAAACTAAATGGAAAAATGTTATATAAACTCTGATAAAGAGGAAGTGAAATCTGCTGCAAGAAATTACAGCAAAAATGACTATATACAAAAGTACACTTCACTTTTTATATGGAACTGAAATTTGAGTATGTCAGGAGCAATATAAATTGAATAATAGAAAAATAGATTAATAGAGAAGTGTGTGTGTGGAAAAACAAAAAGAATGCATGGATATCAAATGAATGTCTACACACAAGTCAGTGCCCAGTACAAAAGAAGTATATTGAAGTGACTTCATCACAGAGAAAATAGCAAGACAAATACTGTATAGTGAAAACCTAAATGAATTGAGAGGAAAGAAAAGGGAAGTTTGAAAAAATAGAAATGGAATCAAGTTGATGAATCCTCAAAAAGAAAGCAGCTTTGTATTTCTCATTGTTTTTCTGTGGTCTGCACTACATTACTTATCCAGAAAGGAAATAGCATACAAAGCCAGTCATTATAGCATGAAAACCATGAGTTTTATGGCTGTTCCCCCACCCCCAATTGTTGTGAACCAAGCAACAGTGGCTTGTTAACTATTCTTGTTAAAACAAAAGCCCTTTTGTCAATTGAGATGTGGAAATGGTAAAAACAAGGATGGTTTGCAAGGATAAAAAAGTATGGAACAATAATAGTGAATAGTGTTGGTAAAAAGTAAATTTAAGTACAGATGTTTCTTTGCTCTTATCCTGCTTTTTAAATTTTTTTGAGTATGACTTTATAGTCACTTCTGTGCGCTGCATAAAGTTCTTATTCTTTCAAAACTTAGCATGATGTATGTCTGCATGTTGCGGGTGTGTCTATATCTATATCTAATGTTTTTCATAGGTACAAATGAACATAAACACTATACTCAAACTTTTTTCTTTTGACCTTCTGCTCTACAGGCACTCTGGGACTACTGTCAAAACAAAACAAAATAAAGCAAGCTAAAATCTACTTCATTTTAAATTTAAAGTTGATCCGTTTTTCTTCTTAGAAGTGCCTGCCCTTTACCGTGTTTCCCTGAAAATAAGACCCGATCTTATATATTTTTTTGCACCAAAAGACGCATTAGGGCTTATTTTCGGGGAAACAGGGTATCAGGGTGATCAGCCCAGTTGGGCGCCCCCCCCCGGTGCGCACACAAGAGGCAGCGAGTGTGCAGGGGCCAATGGTGTCTGGCAGCAGCCGCAGCCCACCGGTCCCTTGACACAGTGCAGATAAGTCCGAGCACAGAGGCAGAAGCGGGGGGGGAGGCAGGTGATCCAAACATGCTGCGTGGCCGCCTGACTCATAGGAGCTTGCAGGAGACTTGCGCAGTGGCACAGGCAGCAAGCAGAGGCAGAGGCATGGGGGAGGCAGGCAGTCCCAACACGCCGTGAAGCCACCTGCTCCAGCGCAACCACCTGCAAACCGAGAAATGGTGGGATGGAGTGGGCGACGCGTCCAGATTGCCTGCCTCTCCCTGGTGCTTCTGCCTCTGCCTGCTGCCGGTGCTGCCACGCAAGCCTCCCACAAGCCAGATGGCTACACAGCGCATCCAGATCGCCTGCCTCCCCCCTGCCTCTGTCTCCATGCTCAGATGTACCTGCACTGCGCAGGCTGCTGCTGTTGGACACTAACAGCCCCCGCATGCTAGCCGCCTCCTGTGCTGGCCATGCCCACCCACCCCTGGGCTTATTTTGGGGATAGGCTTTATATTAGGAGCACGCTAAAAATCAGGCTAGGGCTTATTTTTTGGGTGAGACTTATTTTTGGGGAAACACAGTAGTTGATTGCATTAGGATGATTTATGCTTATCAATATGAGCCTCATCAGCTGTTATTATTTATTTAGTTCTCTGCATATAGAACAATGTTTCTTCTAATAACTTGATATATATTCAGAGGAATGGGTATGGCACATTTCCTTTTTGCATTCTGAATGGCAGAAGCACTTTGAATTTTGACAGGGGCTTCCATTATTTTATGCTGGATTGGTAAAAACAAATTAGAAGGGGGTGATGATGATGATGATGATGATGATGATGATGATGATGATGATGATGATGATGATTGGTTGTTTGAGACCGAGTGTTGAGGCATTTCTTACCCTTCTGTACTTTTAAAATCTGGCTTTCTCTCTCTCAAATTAATTTTCTGTTATAGTCGCTTATGATGTATTGCTTTTGACAGCTGGTTCCAAGAGACAGTATCCCGTCACATGGCTGAGACGATGCTCAGGGATAAAGGAGTTGGTGCTTTCATAGTCCGAGCTAGTCAGAACTCCCCAGGAGATTTCTCTATCTCTGTCAGGTAAGTTTCCTCCTCCCTTTCTCCCATGTGGGAAAGATGGATATTGGGATGTAGAGAGCTTTATTTGATAGATATCTTAAAGCAATGTTTTGTTCTGTGTATGCAACAGCCATTTGTTAATTTCAAGGCGTGTTCTGTATCATTATAACAGCCTCTGGATGGCCCATAACAGTTGTTTTTTCAATCTAGCCCTTAAAATATATTAATATTCCAGTTTGGAAAATGCTGTTTCCAACACTTACCAATATAATCCAATATATTTTAATTGAGCAGTAAGTATTTAGTGTTATGTATTGCTTATTGAAAAGTACCTGTAAATCACTCAATGGAGCTTCCCTTAAGTAAACATATGTAGGATTTTATCAAAAAATTCTAAAAGCAGATACCAAACAGTCCTAAATGAATGAACCTTTATTATCAAAGTACAACATGTATACAATGAGATTGGCTAAGCCTCCCTCCATGTCCCCCCCCACAACTCACAGTGACAACAAACCCACCAACTTATTACATCATGTAAGCTAATTGTACAACGCGCCTGCCTCACGAGTCTATCATAGATAAAGTTATTTCCCATTCAAGAGCCTGACAGTCCATGGATAGAAGCTGTTCTTCAGCCTGTTGGTACAGCTGGCTATACTTCTATATCTCCTACCCGGTGGTAGGAGAGTAAAGAGGTACCAAAACAATTCAAAGCAAACAAATAGAAGCTGCTACAAATATTTTAAAACTAAATCTTTCCATGAATTTACCTGCATTAATCTACTGCAGACAATGTAACATAGAATTCTATTCCATTTGTTATATTAAAAATATATTGTGATTTAA